ATACATACATATATATATATATATATATTTTTTTTTTTAGAAATTATATATTTTTATAAATTATTCTTATGGATTGATTCTTGAATTGGTTAATAATAATAATAATAATTAAACAAAAAAAGCGGCTTGACAAATGATTCCCTGAATCAGACTCACTTACTGACAAAATCACTGCCATAATTTCTACTTTAATTTAGAAAAACTCAAAAATGTGAAAACTGACTCGTATGAACAAAGGACTGTTATAGAGTGACTCCTGAATTGGTCAAAAAGACCAGTCTTTCAAATGACTCACTGAACCAGACTCATTTACTAACTGAACAACTGCCATAAATGTTACTTTTTTATTTAAAGGAAAAACATTAAAATGTGATCAAAAAGAATCTTTTTATGATTCGTATGAACAAACGGCTCTTATGAACAGATTACTGAATTGGATTAAAAAAACAAAAAAAAAAACCTCTGACAAACGACTCCCTAAAACCTAATCAGACAGATGACTCACTGAATCTGAATCAAGACCCGCTTACTAAGTAATTAAAGAAAAATCATAACAAATACTGATTCTTATGGGGCAATTCTTGAATTGGCCAAAACGATCAGTCTGAAAAAGTGAATCACTGAATCTGACTCACTTTCTTGATGACTGCTATAAAAGTTATTTTAATCAAATAAAAAGAAATGTGATTAAAAAAACATATCGGTTTTGTTTAAGATATGACAATGGATCGTGTTTGAGGAATATATTTCAGTGCTTAATACAGAGTATAAATGTTAAATTTGATTAAGACAATCATGCATTTGGCTCCATGTTGTTTGGAAAGTTTCAGTGAGTAACATCAAACTTTGGATCACTCACAACACGCCCAGTGAAATACCCACAATCCCCTGGGATTATGTATTAAACTCAAGAACAAATGGTTTTCAGAAAGTCCATGAACACACTCGAAGTATGAAAACACAAATGCCTGCAGTCACAAAGCTCAACACTCGAGAGCGTGATCGAGTTTTCTTCAAAGGTTTCAATGCATTTCCAGTCATAACGATGTGGAAACTGAGTTTAATAAGCAGAAAGAATTCGCATTCGACGACTCACCCATCATTGGAGCAGGTCAGAAACTCCTCTTTGATTTTGGGATGCCAGCAGCCGTCGTTCAGCATCGCCGTGTGACCCTAAAAGAGGACAGACGACAGATTTAGATGATCATGAGCATGCAAAGTGCAAATTAAGCCAAATTAAATTTGAATCATATTCAAAAATAAATAAAAATCAAATCTGAATAAAATTCCATTAAATCAATTAAAACATTTATAAATAAACAAATAAAAATTATTTGAATAATAAATACATACTAATTTAAATACCAATAAATAATCAAATTCCAATAAATAATTTGAACCATTAACAAATAAATAAAATATGAATATAATTTCAATAAATAATTTTAATCATTCAAAAATAAATAAAATATAAATATAATTCCAATAAATAATTTGAATCGTAATAATACATTTACAAAAAAATCAGGATACAATTTCAAAAGTTTGAATCATATTAATAAATAAATATGACTTGTGCTCTAAACCAGTGGTTCTAAAACCTCTCCATGAAGTACCCCCAGCACTGCACATTTTGTATGTCTCCCTATATCTGACATACCCACTTCAGGTCTTGTAGTCTCCACTAATGAGCTGATGAGTTGAATCAGGTGTGATAGATGAGGGAGACATACAAAATGTGCAG